ATTTATTTTTCTCATTATTACTATTATTAATATTATTAGAAAACAGGCCAACTTTATTCCGAATATTAATTCAGATCGGTTACCTAGGTCGGCTACATTTAATTTCCTATAACAAATACAATCCTGTCTGTGCAAAATCGAATCTCGGAACGATCGAGCAATCGCGGTGCTCGTTATTGTCAACGACTGCGGAAAAGGAAAGCCGCGCGAGCGGTGGTATTGGGCCAGGCGAGGCGTCAACATCCGTCCGGCGGATAAACGAGAGCTGTCGACACAGGAAATTCGTTACGTGGAAACGTTACGATCGCAATTCTGGAGAGCTTTCGGACCGTAGTGGACCTTACGCCTACACCAGTGAACAGTTTGGGAACGGAACGTTACTAAATGTAGGGTTTTCCGATAAAAGCGATAGAACTTTCAATCGTCATAGCCGTCATACTTGTTATTTGCTTGTTCGAGTCACGTGACATTTGTATTTAATAGTGCATTACAAGCAATCACAGAGAGATATAATATAATTCTTTTTTTTTTTATCAGATTCGTTTTCATTTTATCTTTTTACATAATAAAGATGTATTATTATTATTTCTTAGGGTTTCAACCCGAGAAAGCGAAAGAGAATTGGGACAGAGATCGCGATACATAGCGAAAATCGAGCATACACTGACTGGTAAGAGAAAAGAAACGGACGACCCAGGGCAGCCTAGTTTCGAGTAGCGCGAGAGGACGACGCCTCGCGTCGGCACGCTTTGGCACGGAAAGCCAGTAGCGCTCGTTTCGAATCCATTCACGGCGTGCTCCCCGTGCAAAAGTGGTCCGATGTCAATGGGCGCATTCATTCGCACCTGAACGCTTCCCCTGCGCGGTCTATGAATAACTTGAAGGTAATTTCCTTCCCGTTCGAGGATGCTGTTGGTGTCTACGTTCGAACACGCCTGAACTGGACCGAACGAAAAAACGAAACTGAAAGGCCCACGATTGCCTTTGAAAATGTCACGCTACAGGATCTGTTTTACCGACCAGATTGTTGTTTCATCACGATACCACAAAGGGCGACAGAAGAAAAGGAGAATAGAAGTAGATTTAGTTTGTCACACTTTATCGTTACCTATGTCTTTCAGATTGTCGCTACTACAGTCTTCGAGCGAGAAAACGACCTAACTTCTCGCGAAGAGGCATCGACCGCCTTCGTATGGTCACAGACGAATCATTCGTCTCTGTCGTACGTTCGAGCGAAGACAACCGAAGGGAAAAGAAGAGGGAGACGGAATTCGAAGCCAACGCAACAGCGTTTCCCAATCTTCGTATACATCAACAATTTACAAATATTAAATGTCGTACGCGATCTGAAAGAAGCGAATATTTTTATGATTAAGGCTAATATCCCCGCCGTATAATATTTTTATTTTATCGATTTTTATTGCATTATTTGTACCACTGAGCGTACTAGCGTGCATTATCGAGTACTTTGAAAAGGAACTTTAATAACTAAGGTAACAATCGATATTATAGACGTCACATAATTAAAAACGTTTCGATAAAATTAAGACTCGTATAACAACATAAAGAAACTGATTCATTGAAGTGTTCTGAAGTTGGGAAACGCTGGGATAGAGCGAGGCGGAGCATCGCGAGGACTGGAAAATGTATTGTTTAGGCTGCACTTACATCGACCTACGGTGGGTGTGTCGCGAGCGTGAAATACCGACGAAGCGACTACTGGAGAGAAGGAGTGAGCTCGATGACCGATACGCGAGCCACGTAAAAGATTCTAGTGGACCCAAGTTCCAGTGCTGGATCTAGACTTATCAGGGCCAAAAGTTAATTACAACAATGCACGGTTAACTTTCATAAAGATTTCTTTATGAAAGATTTCCAACAGAAAAGTCTATAGAGAAAAGAAAGTTAATTATCAAAAATTCTGTTTTTTTTTTCATTCAATCTTCCAAAACGCCTATAACAATAAGTTTGCAGATATTAAATTTTAATTGAAATTAGAAAAAATTGAGAGCATGGAAGATTTAAATAATTTATAATATTAGCTTGTATTCAAAAATATGATATTCATAGATACAGTCTTCAAGGAACGAAAGGAGAGAACATTTTTGGCTGATTGAAGAAATAAAATTTTTTCTATGCTTTTGAATAGTTAGATTGAAGAATGAACAAATATAAAGTAATTGGGCACCCCTTCTATACGGGGATCGAAACTAAAGCATCGATAGTTTCATAGTTAAGCCGCCCCTGTTTAGAATTACGACTTTATTTTATCCTCCGAACGATCCGTTCGGTTCCATCGACTACTCTTTCGGAAAATTAATCACCAAACCTCGGAACCGTTCAGGTTCCCAGCGATACACGTTTAATTAAAAGCATGAAGCTCGTTTTCCAAAATAAAACAACCACGACGGAGTAGCCTCGTAGACGCCCGTAGGAAACTTCGCTGAAACAATCTCGAAGAATCGTTTGATCTTAAGCGATAACCTCGCCGAGGAAATTCGATCTTATTTAGATAAATAATAAGCTCTTGGTAATTGAAAAGTAATAATATCGGCTATTAAATTGGAAATAATATAGACACAAACTGTATTTGCTACAACTGATTCCTATATTAAATTATAAATATAAAAAATATAATATTCTAAATACAGGATACCCCGCGTAACTGTTTCTTTTATAGCCAACCTGTCTTCTATTATTTAAACTAAACGTACTGCCGTGTAAGGATAACTGTATTACTGTTCCTAACTTATTGCTATTCCTAATCTAATGGGTGATACGATTTGAGAAACACTGCCCTGCGACGTTGCGTAGCATCCAGAGCCCTCTTTGCTCGCGTTTCAGAAAATTGGAGAATCGCTGGTATAATTTTTCCATTGGAATAATATTTCCTAGCGCAAAGAGCACAACTGCAATTATAGCTAATAAGTCGTAAGAAGCACTTCGTTGAATGTTCACGATGAAATTCACAGATGAAAGCGTCTATCATTAGACAGAGTACGGAACTTCTCTTTGGATCTTTCGCAGCTTCGTAAATGCGCACTTTGCGGACAGGTGAAATGGAGGGCGATATTGCATTACGGTATTCCATTAGCGTTATTATCCTTATTGCGTTATAATTGCAGAGCTCCCAGTCGACGACATCAGACTCTGACATGGAGATTAATTCCCGTGCCACGACTAGAACAATTCGTCGCCTAGCCGCGACGGGGCTCCGAGATTCCATTTAAGTTTTCATTTAAAACTGTCGAGTCGGCGGAACGAACGAACAAACTCATGGATTTATCCGTTCCGAAACACTCCCGACTGGTTTCCCCCGATAACGGAGATTTCTGGCGCTCGAGTCTCTGGCACCGCGACAACCGCGACATCTGACAGCCGCCTGCAGAGTTCTGTATGCAGCCATCCAAAGAAACCGCGTGGGTGCGGTTGCATTTGCGAGTTGCAGGGACCTACGAGACCAACGCCCACGATTCTTGCACGCAACAACGGGGCGATTCAAGCCGTTTCAAGACTCTTGAAACAAGTCGGCGAAACTCAAGGCACCTAGAAAGGTTTTGCAAGACTTCTGAGATTGAAACCTCGAAAGTTTTGCATATCTTGAATGCCTCGAGTATTTTGATTGTCTTAAAGTTCGTTGCGATCTTAAACCGTTTTAACGGAACGATTTGCAGAAGTTATGCAAACGTACATATTCAAGGAATATAAAGGCCCCTGCCACAGAAGTCGAAAATACGGAAACGCAATTTAACGTACGACATTTATGTACGTTTAAGACGATTGCATGAACACTATTTTGTGTTGAATATGTAATATCAAATAAATCAACCTGTAAATAAAAATACAAAAGTGGGCTTCAGGAATAATAAAATTTCTTTAATGACGTGAGGGCAAAACTCTGAACGCGGATTTATTTACCAAGACGATTCTCGTTGCGGTCACGTGGTTTCGTTTACACGAAGCCTGCGAGTTGAACGTATAGTCAGTTTTACGAGGCGATAAGTGGATCTCAATAAAACCACATGACCGTGGCAAGACCGTATTAACAGAAGCCAATTCACCGAATATACAGAATGTATCCTTTAAGTTTGACCATCATTTTTCAGACGTTTTCGCTAATCTAACAAAAAAATTATTTGAATAAAACATAGTTAACTATAGAACGATTGGATATTAAAAACTTCTAAACAATTTTTTTTCAACGAATATTTATACTATCTTTACATACAAAACGACATTATTGCTATCGTTGGATTTGTATAACTTATTAGTCTAGACCAGTCATACTCAATGTTTTAATTCGTTGTCTCTTTTCGAGCGTCCACTATGCGTCGAACCCACGACACAGAGCCTGTCCTCTTGTGTCGACACAGTGCACGATGATATTTGGATCACGTTACGGCATTGTTTACGTCCAGCTTCGTCTCACGGAACGGACGATAGTACACAACCTTAATATCTTAGCAGTCGAACACGAATAGATCGAATCACAATTAAGAGGTGAATATCTCGCGCGGGTCGATGGAACGACGAAACAGTTCTTGCTTGTTTCGTCTTTGGTCGAGATACATACTTTGTTACCATATGAATTATTATTACAGATCTTTTAAAAAAGTAACCTTATTTCAACCAATCATAATTTTCTTGGCAACGAACTGTACAACTTTTTTAAGCCGGAATTTTTCAGACATATTTATCGATGCAGGTTAGCTTTCTACGATTCATCCCCCCCCCCTCTCCCCCTCCCCCTTCCCAAGACTTCCACTCAGCGTCTCGAACTCAACGAAATCTGACCCAGCAAAAAACGAAAGAAAGCAAGACACACGCAGTAGAAAAAGATGCAGCCCAGTGAGATGTTTTTCCAACAAAATTCACGGTTTGGCCCATTGTGCAAACAGCAGAGTAAAATGGAAAACGTAACGCTAGTTGACGAACGTTCAATAAAGTGGTTATGATCAACCCTTCCTATTTGCCCGGAAAAGATTAATTTTGGTACTCGCCTGCAAATCGGCTGCTGATCGTCGCGTTCGTCCGGTTGGTTCGCGAAATTGCCGTCGTTTACCGCCGAAGAAGTCGAGCTCCGCGGCGACCTTGGCCCGCCCTCTGGCTCCCCGATCAGAACTTCTGTTTGACCATTTTGGAAGGGACTGCTGGCACGTCGTTCCCCGACTCTTCCGCCTTGCGCCGGCGTCTGGAAGATGAATCACGGTTTCGCGATTACGAAACGAACTCCGTTCGTACAAATGTCTCACCCGCAGGGAAATCAAGCTGTCGCGGCTACTTTTTCGCGCGTCGTGGAACAGACTTTGTCAACAGTGGCGGCGAGATTGAAGAGCGCGTTACCGAACGTGAAACGCTCGCATGCATCATTAACGATCTAAAATTGATAAAAATTCTCATCCAGGACACGAAACCGATTAGCTCTTACAATTCAAAGCGACGGAAATGTGCGAGCGGAACGTGGCGTGTTCCGAATGATACCCAGTACGAAGTTAGATTAAACTTCGTTTTTGGGGACCATCAATTTTGACTCTATTTTATTACCATTTTTTATGATCCTAATTATACATCTTCGTTCTTAATAAAGTCGCAAAATAATGGAATCGATTAGTTAAAGAATGATTAAATAATCCGCTGAGATGAAACCCCGAACTGCTAAAATTCAATTGTGGCCCGCTGAGCGGTGTACCGATCGCTTACAAACGATTGCAGCGCCCAAAGAGTTATTTGTATGTAACGACCTGTTCCCCCAGGCATTTTTTTCTCGAATTCCTTGCAATGTTCACGGCGATTAATTATGTAGGAATGAAGCACAGACAACGAATTGCAATTCCGGGAAATGGTTACTTCACACCTAACCGACTCGCGCGAACGCGTTTACATAAGCAACGCGAAGGAGAAATCATTTTTTACCCAGTCTGGTGTAAAGATAGAAGTGAACCGCGAGTCGTTTTCAAGGATATTAAAAACACCGATACACTAGCGTTAGCTACTTGCTCGGCGTTGCTCGTTATCTTTCGCGTTTAGTTACAAAAAATGAATTCCGTTTGGCGCAAAAGCGCAGAAAAACAATTCTGTGATAATCAAAATCACCAGATGGAGACTCGTTCAAGCTGATTTTTGCAGTTGCCGACTTTTATCGATGAGTCTACTTATAACAATCTAGGACGAACGTCATACATTTTTTGTCGTAACTAAATTAACGATTACTTTATACGTAACGAAAAATACTATTACTGGTTCTAGATAGAAACATAAATTTCCATCTTCGAGAGCCCCTTCTCGTTGAGAAAAGCTAAACTAAAGCCATTGCATTGCATTACTTCAATTTATGATAAATAAATGAATAAAAGATTTCATCGACTAACCAAAAGATTGGTTTCCTCGGGACAGGTTTGGGGCTTGTCCAACGCGTCCTTTCCTTCTCGTGTGTCCTTGGTGTCCTTTCCTATGCCCTTCGGTATCGTACCGTTACTGAGTTTCGCGGTAAAGGCATTCGAGTTCGGTTCCCTGTGACAGAATCAATGAACATCTTAGACGTATCGCGAGAATCGGTTTTCCGACACGGCGATGCCTCCGGAAACAAAAACGACGCCATGCGCGGTTGCATCGGAATGGGATATCAATCATGCCAATCGCAATTTCTCGTATCCGGCCTGTAATTGTACTTCCCATTCGGTGTGCCGCGAGTTTTCACGTTTCGTGCTTGGCTCGCTACTCGTCAGAGCGCGTGATCGTCGTCGATTCCACTGGTAACGAGAAACCGTCGACGCATGCATCTCCGTGCAAAACTTATTTCAACTTTCGATCAAATTTGCATTCTTTAGCTTGTGTTATGCAAATGTAGAAATATTTTACAACGCTCAACAATATTTTAACCGCCAATTTTCAGCCCTGAAATTAAATTGTAATAAAACTAACGTAGAAACCCAGTAATTAGTATTAAGATATTATAATAGGATAGGATAACAATATTGTATAAGCTTCTGTACATTTAGTAATTATAAATTAAAATGAGCCAGTGGATGACGATTTTTATAACCTTTTTATAATCAGAACCAATATTATAACTGTTTTCAATAAATAACATTAACGTACAATGTATCTTGAGTTTTTGTTTCCACTTTTATGTAATTTGTACTAACTGTTTATATATTACAGTTTACGAACAACAATAGAAAAGCAACTATGATGAACGAGTTTGATTGGGAGCCACTGTAGGTCAGGGAATGCTTTGTTTCCGAGTTACAGGCATTCAAAGTTTCGTAACGGAGGTTATGTTTCGAACGGAATGTCAAGTATGTAAACATGACTCTAATTGCGTGCAAGCACGACAGCATAACGTAAACAATCATACTTATTGTTAGATAGGACAATAGAAATTACAGTATCAGCTAGTGATCGAAGATGGGTGAAATTTTATTCAAATAATAAATAAGGGATAAAAATATAGTATTTTACTTACGATGTTTATTAGAGCGAATAGTGATAAGAAATAAGTTTCGTTGTTTAATTTCATTGCAAACGTGTAAATCACTTATATCGAATAAAAACTATTTACATCGAGCTAAGAATGTTTATTAATTAATTATTCAGTACTGTTTAATTAAACGCAAAACGATTGCACATTTCCGCGAGATTGTTTCGCTTTTATCCTGGAGAAATATGGTCGTATTAGCTGTCGCGTCCCTGCGGAATAGAGTCATGTTTACATACTCGACATTCCGTTCGAAACATGACCTCTTGTTACGAAATTGTGAAAGCCTGTAACTCGGAAACAAAGCGTTTGCAAAGCTACACTCGCAGACGAAAGTATTCGAATGCTTAACATTTATAACATTTAATCAATGAAATAAAATGTTAAATTGAGGCATTCAATATATTTAATATGACACACAGAACAAGGTCCATAAAGTACATGTTAGATTATTATTAAATTATTTGGACGTTATTCGAACAAGTAAAAACAGATAAGTAAACTATTATAAAAATTGTAACTGCATTTGGTAACACAAATTATATCTGACCTTCAAACGTCCGATCCGTTTATTTTTGTCTCTACCGATCAATTACTCGAAAATTCATATATCGGAAACGTTTTGTTCCCCTATTATTTCCAATAATCGACCTGCCACCGTACTTCATGATATATATTTTGCAATACACGACGAAACTTATTGATAAGTAACGTTATCCGAACACTGAAGCATCATCTCGCTGAGTTAAGATTCAATTAATTCATTATGTATAATTCAAAATTATTCTTTCTTTTTATACCGATGTTTAATATTTATCGAAACCGCGTACTATTCGAAACAAATTTAAATATCAGTAAATAATTTTTTTCTGAACGTCCAGTAAATGGGACACTGTGTACGTAATGGGTTAACGCGTTCGCTACAGTAGCTTTTCTCGTAGATTATAATACTTAGCGTAGGAGGCCAAATAGGCCCGCAGACTTTTTAATCACATTCGATAAATTTCAACTGAAACTTGAACCGTAAACGTTATATAAAATTATTTGAGGTAGTTGTTTTCTACTCTATGTTAATATCTACGTAAAATCAAGAAACGGTCAAAAATAATATGTCTACTTACTTGTCCGCAAGCGTCACGGTAATTTGATTGCCAGTCACATTTTTGTTCGCGCTGTACCCGCTGGTGGATGCCACTGACTCGTTGATCTGCACAGAACGAGGAAGCAAAACGATCAGTTGGGTTTACCTGGCAAACGGTCGCGCTTTGCAGCTGGGAACAAAGGGTTCCGCGACGGGAAAGCAGCTCGATCGATGCTCTTTTTCGTCTGTTTTGCCTTGGCACGCGACACCGACGGAATAGATGGAGAAAGAAGCGGAGAAAAAATAACGGAGAGAAAGATGGAGAGAGTTCCGTGGGGCAAACGTTTCGAGGGGCACAACCTGTGGAATAGGACACCGTGCACAGCTGTCGAACACCATATAACGATAGACCCTTTCCCCCAAGAACTTTATTTTTAGCAACACAATCGGTATATGTATATGCTACATATTTTACAGCATTCTTAACGACGCCACTATTATTTTAAAATATAGAGGTTCGTACGGTTCAAGTATTTTAAAGAATCGTAGGTTAGGTTTAGGTTAGGTCCCACTTGCACGGAACAGCCTGTATATCGCGACTCGTTCATGAATGGGACCGGAGAAGAGAATTTTATTTAATATGTAAATACAATACGTGCATGACTGAGTGTGGGTAAAGACATAAGTAGTCGTATATCTATGAATTGGGGTTAATCGGGGATTGCAGGATAATCACGAGCCTGATCACTTTACAGCTGTTTCCATCATCGTAACGCGAAGTTCAAGAAAACAACATGTTTATCTGTTTTTTTATCGGATTTCCGACCAGTATGTGTTGCGCGACAGGGAACTGCACTCTATTCAAGGCCACGTGCGATCGCCGTTCACTCGACGCTAGTTTACTTTGCATTCCACGTATCATAAATAGCCATGGGGCGTTCGAATCTGGGATCCTGCGAGAAATATGAAACTTTCAACACTGTTTAGATTTCAATCGTTATTCGAACACAGACGGTCTCGAAAGTCTCGGTGGATCTCGAAATTTTTATCGGTCTCGAAAGCTTGGTTAGCCCGGAACTTTAGTTAGGTTAGGTTAAACTTTCAGTGAATCATGAACATTTCGCATAAATAAATGTATTTATCTATTCATACAAAATGTTCGAACGTCATTGAAAGGTTTAAAATCCATGAAGAATTCAAGACCGGAAAAAATTTGTAAGAACAGACAAGACTTTCAAGACCATCTGGATTCGAATGATGTTCGAAGCAATTCGATTCGGTCTTGAGTCCACCAATAACCATAAACAGCCTCTGAAAGATTGTCTCTACCAACTGCGCTGGACGATCGCGGTTGGGGTTCTGCGCTAGGACTGGGACTGTTCGAATAATTTATTGTTATTACTCAAAAATCGTATGATCTAAAATAAAAAAAAAACTATTTACTATTTAAGATAATATTTTGCAAAGCTTCGATCCCAAACGACTATATTACAAAACAGGTTCGTAAAAACAGTATCTATTATTCAACACGCAATTTTTTTAACCTATATTTCTGTATTTCATTAATAATTATTAACGCAGTCTGGCTATACATGTGCAAACGCAAAAACTGTAAACCAATGGACGGTACGTACCTCCTGCTCGTAATTTATAAATAAGTAAAAGAAAGTCCCAGGCCTATAATCCGTACCGGAATGCCGTGAATTTCGTGGTTACGCTTACCGATTAGAATGTTCGATAGACCCCCCCAGACTGAACGCCGATGGAATAGAAACTAATTGCATCGAATACAATGGAGACGCTCGATCGTTGGTTATCTGTCTCCCTCTCTTTGTCGTCGTTGTCGTTTACCGAGAACGACGAGTCGGCTCCGATTGCTCGCGTTGATCGATTCGTAATTGACGGGCCGCTCGAAGGAACAGAAATTAACAGCGTGGTCGGTTGTTCTACGATACGCTCGATTTACCTTCAGGGTTGCATTGATTTCATTCCCATTGCCAGTCGGTCGTGTTCCCTATAGTTCAATTACCAAACTGGAAAGGGTAGTTCTCTCGTTGACGACTAGAGTGAACCATTCGACCGCGTTAAAAAATAATTTATTAAATAATGGCTTTACCGGGTGGCAACTTCGGTGACCTTGACCTTGGCCTTAACAAACGTTGCCAAGGACACTCTGCCGAGAAACCTTTTACAGGCTATAGCCCCGTCGTCCATTATCGTTTAAAAAGTTACTATTTATTAAAAATGAAATACGAATGTTGATCAACCGTTGATTATTATTTAGTGAATAAATATAACTTAACCTGTCTTTGACTTAAATTATACAGAGTGCTCGACTATCTCTGGGACAAAACTTGTAATGGGAGATTCTAGAGGCCAAAATAAGACGAAAATCAAAAATAGCAATTTGTTGATCGAGGCTTCGTTAAAAAGTTATTAACGTTTTAAATTCCACCTGTAGAACGGCTATCTGCGAACAGCTGCTAGTGGTTCTCACTCAAAAAGCTGTAAGGCTGTCGATACGTCAGTAAGTAGAGTTTCTCATGCTGAGTGAGAACCACTATTGCATGCACGCAGCCGTTCTACAGGCGGAACTTTAAACGTTAATAACTTTTTAACGAAGCCTCGATCAACAAATTGGTATTCTTGATTTTCGTTTTATTTTGGCCCCTAAAATCCCCCGTTAAAATTTTTCCCAGAGTAATTTATCTTCTTGTAATATTGTAATTGTGATGCAAAATTGAATTGGTTAGAAAATTGTATACGTTTAATTCGAAAACTAGAGAATATAAAATACGTATTTGTACAGTATTCTCATTATAAATATGCGGATCGTGTTAAATATGAAAACAAACTTGGAATCAGCGAAGCAATTAATGAAGCGGTATTATGTCGGACGCAGAGTAGTGTAATAGGATCTGGTGTCGAACATCACACTATTTACGAATCACCCTGTATTAAAATGAGAAGAGCATTCGTATTCCTGTGGTATTACGCAAGGGATCCCCGTTCTCATCCGACGCGGCGAAAGTCCAGAAGGACCTTCTTTCCACGAATCTATCCAAGTGACTATCGGACTGGAAAGGCTACCTTTCCGTGATATTGCTCGTTAAAGGCATTTACCTCTTGGTGTAGAATCGCTTCGATATCGCGAGGCTGAATCCTCCAGTGCAATGCCAGCCTCTGCAATCTTTCTTTTGCCTGTCTGCAATCGACAAATAATTCATATCGTTAGTTAAAACTTCCAAAGATTGACGAAACTATCGAAGATTTAAAAAAATTACTACAACTACATATTATCGTAGGCTCTGTCCTTGAATTTATATATTTTTTTCTTCTTTTTTAGTAAAATGCACCCAAAGTTACAAAAATTGAAAACTTTGAATTTTGTATTCTTTGCATTAGCTAATTATATTCTACGATTTTAAACATTTCTAAGTTTACGAATATGCTTAAATTTAACTAATATTTGCTTAAATTATTTATAGTTTCAAGGAATACCGAGAAAAAAATTGGTCGAAATATTTTTTTCTATTTTGTCATGTTGAAGAATTACGACGATAAGTAGTTTCTGCAAGTGTAACGTGCCAAAATGTCCACAATTAACCTTCTATTGCATAACACGATCGATCCGGAATCCAATGGAAAAAAAAGGTACTAAGAAAGTTCGCCGAGAAAATGTAGGTTCGGCTACTTACTCTTTAATTTGAGTAGTAATTAATTCCTGAATGTACCATGAAATAATTTCTTCCCGCGATATTTGAGAGATAAAATAAACTTCGTACAATGGATAGTTAATAACAAACTCATTTTATCGCATACTAAGCAGGAGGATTTAGTTGTGCTAAGTAAGGTTAATTAACTGAAAAATAACTTGTGTTTGAAAATCTTTAGTTTCCCCAGCAATAATAAACGAGACACTGAGAAAATAATAAAAACGCAGGTAAAATAATTATAAGCGATGCATGAAAACATAATTTATAAAATTTTTATTCTGTTTCAAGAAGCTGAACCAAAAACATGTTCATAGGCAAAACCAAAATTTGACATTATACGTTTTATAAAAAATTATTTTATACTACAGAAAAAAAATGTTCTAAAAGAATCACTCGTTCAGAACCGAGATATAATTTTTAAATTTTCGTGGTGCTACATTTTCCTGCTCGGATTTCGATAATTATTGAATAACGTAGAATTCTTATCAGTGAAGGATGATTAAATAAAGAAATAGAAGCAATTACCTTTCGACAGCGATGACCCAAGCTTCTCGCACCCGACCAGCCTTAAACCCGTCCAACTCTGCTGCAAACAATTTCCAAGACATTAGTCGTATTCCTCGTCATTTTATTCCTTTTTCATTGTAGTTATTATAAAATAAAAACTTATGTGACTTTCTATAAATTTCAGTAAAAATCACAATATTGTTCTTATTTTTTTATTTCGATAGCTAGTAGGACGAGATCCAAAATGGAAAGCAATTTATATGAATTCCTATTCACTTTTTCCAGCGTCGTCGAAATACATCTGGATTTTAAAAAATTTGTTTCATTTATCACCACATCTATCGTATAAAAATAGACCCAGATGTATTTACTATTAATTTATTTCGATAATCAACAACTAAAAATTCATTTTTTCTACACAACTCGATAGAAACACACCGAACCAAAAATCAAACCTAGCAAAAGTAATATGCATAATACGATAATATTATGACACATTTCGACGAGAATAAAACACGATCAACCTTTGTTTCCGTTCCATTCACAGCGCGTACCATTTTCGACGCAATCGGCATCATCGTCCTCGTCGTCTATAAACTTAATGGCGGACAAATCGAAATAGTTCGCGACGTCCTCGGGCTCCTGATCTCTCGCCGGAAATTCGATCGACTTCGTCCCGTCGTCGACCACGGATTCATCGACGACGAACGTCTGTCCGTCGAGGCCCAAACTCGAGCATCCGCAGAGGATCTTGCGAAAGAATCTCGACATCCTCGTATAGCTTCTCTAGACGCTACACCCAAGTGCACCAACTGCAGGAACGTGTTCCGTGACGATTGTTTCCACGGCCTGTTCTCATGTCCAGAACGACGCGGACAACTTCGCTTATTAAAGTATTATCCTTTATTTATTTTTTCGTGACGTCCAATCGACGAGCGCCGTGTTTCGTCGAAACATTTTTGAAAGTCGACGAGTTCTACGATTTCGACGAAACGGACGGAACGATCGAGGAAATCACTTGCCACGCGGGTGAGGTTAGGTGTGCGTGTGTACGTGTGTGGAAAAAAGGCTGGGAAACTCGCGAAATCTTTGACGAGAAGTTCTCGAGAGACGAGACGAGACGCGACGACGTTCGCGCGCACGTGTCGCCGGGACCATAGAAAATAAACTCTCCACCGGGGCCGAGAATGGATGGCACGTACGAACGAACGAGGGATTTATATTTGGAACTGCTCACTGGCAACCGACGAGAAAAATTAAAGACGGAGAAGACGGTTCGATGCGCTTTACGCCACTGTGCATCGAGTATTGTTTCGTTGCCGTTACCCACGACTTCTTTCGACTTCTTACAGACAACCTTTTTCTCTCTCTTTCGGTTATTTACTTCGATAGTACACGAACACGGAACAAAATTATTTACGTAACTCGATAATAACACGAAAATATTTATGCGAATTTCTATTTGTTTCCTTTCTTAACGTCAAGATGCAATTGGGACTTTTTAAATTTATTTATTTATTCGAGAAATATACCTTTCGAACGGATTAAAAAAGAATGAAATAAATTCATTTACATGGTAAGTTTACCTATAAATAATTTTTGATGATAATGAAATTATTTAATTTCTATTTTCAATTCAATTCTCATAACAGTTTACAAAAGTTTTATCAAAATCGGTTATTAAAACTCAGCATTTCCACGTTGTTAGTAACGCGTACGAGTTTAACATGAACTAATATTTCGAAGACTCGCGTAATTGCAGAACAATCGTCCTCGGATTGCGTTTGCTTGTTCGGTCGGGTAAAGTGTTCGCGAAGAGATCGAGCAAACTTTATCGCAGTGTTCCATTATCAGGTCGTCGTATACAGTAATGGGTTTAACCCTTTCGCTCATGCCGCGTTAAATTTAACACACTGAATCTCATATGTGCCGAAATAGAGTGGAAACCAATGTTCTCCGTTATTTTGCGTCTTTCTACGTTTCGTACGTGTGGACTACGTTATACCAGGACAATTAGGCAAAAATCAACTATCATTAAATTTTCGACAGAAAGTATTAAAAATTTTTATTTTCACATGGGTGCAAAAAATATTCATTCAACGTCCAATTCGAAGAGAAAATTTTGATTTATTTGCGTTTGTTGATGTACAGGGTGTTCGGTCGCCCCTGGGAAAAATTTTAATGGGAGATTCTAGAGGCCAAAATAAGACGAAAATCAAGAATACCAATTTGTTGATGGAGGCTTCGTTAAAAAATTATTAACGTTTAAAGTTTCGCCCGTACCGAATTTTTTTCTTGAAAGTGGGTAGGATTTCGGGGGTATGTCTATTCGCAAAAAATGATTGTAATTGACCTTCGCAACCAAAAATAATTTTTCCAGAACGATTTGAAATTTTTTAATTCTGTCATAAAATTTTACCCATTCTCGAACTTTTTTTCTAGAAAATGGGTAGGATTTCGGGGTTGTGTCTATTCACCAAAAATGATTGTAATTAACCCCCGCAACCGAAAATAATTTTTTCAGAATAATTTGAAATTTTTTAATTTAATTTTTTAATAACTTTTTAACGGAGCCTCAATCGACAAATTAATATTCTTGATTTTCGTCTTATTTTGGCCTCTAGAATCTCCCATTAAAATTTTTCCCAGGGGTGGCCGAACACCCTGTATTTGAATAGAACAAATAATGTGTATATGTACATGATATATGCATGTATACTCCCGTTTTGTCTTTTTATAATAATAATAATAATATAATAACATAATATTATAATGAAATTTATGCATGTACATATCATAATTTTTTAATCCAATTACATTTATCGAGCATCGAATAATTTGGGACGTGGGAGGAATATTTGTTCTACCTGAAGAAAAAAATTCGAGACCGAGGGGGTCAAATAAATTCTCACATTTACCTTCTCGGAAAAGAATTGAAATCGTGCTACAGTTTTACGCTATATTAGTAAAACCAATTAGCTAATGGGTCCGCTCAAGAAAAGGATAAAGTTTTAAATGTCGTTACGTATGCATATTTAAACTTTTCATTTTGTCATGTACTATGTTTACTTTGATAATAGCAATCAATAGCCATCTAGTTATTTAAATATTGTGCAAGATTTCTTGCTTCGAAGTGAGTGGATAAGCTTAGTAATAAAATCTCCACTTCACTGAGTCGTCGTGGCAATGTTCAGGGTTTTTTTCTGAATTGGAAACAGCATAACACGTTGTACGGGATTGAATTTATAAAAAAGATGTTTATACGAAAATTATTAAGAATTATTAAAGAATGTATTTTTTAAATAACTTTATAAAAATCCAATTAATCGATCACATTAGTCGCTTAACTAATTTGTAAGTTCCAAGAGAGATACCTTTAGCAGTGACGATAAAATGTTCACATTTATCGTGGATGTCAGTTTCACGTTTATCAGGGGGTGAATACCGTAAATGCGATAGTGGTATACCATAATTTTAAAAATATGTGAAAGGCCGTTCAGAGACGAAAGCCAGGGCTTCTGGTCGAGCTCGAGCGTCACAGTTTCACGCTGGCAATCATCTTATCGCGTGGGAGACACTTCGAGTTTCTGGAAACCAGCCACTGACCCGGAAGCGACAAGGAGTCAGCAGAATTATTCATTTATTTTTCTGCCGGCAGGGTTCCGTGAGCCAACGAACCGATCGTCGAATAATGGGGGCCAGGCATTAAATTCGGCGCTCCACGGCATAGACCGTAAATTGCACGCGATTTTATCACCGTAACAACCGTGATACCAACTACCAAACGCTTATTGATGCCACGACCAACTGGAAAGTTAACTGCTTCCAGACTCGGTGAAATTACGCTTGCCAATTAGTCCTGATTCGTGGAGACATTCTGCATGATTTTTAATTCCGTTCGCATCCTATTCGTTCCCAGCCGCAGTTCGTTACTTCATCGAGTATCAAACACGGCTTAAGCATTAATTAAAAGTAACTGCAAATATTCATATTTGAGTACTTAAATTTTTAAATAGTATCCGAACAGTCAAGTATATACAGGGTGTTCGGCCATCCCTGGGAAAAATTTTAATGGGAGATTCTAGAGGCCAAAATGAGACGAAAATCAAGAATACCAATTTGTTTATGGAGGCTTTGTTAAAAAGTTATTAACGTTTAAAGTTCCGCCTGTACTGAATATTTTCTCGAAAATGCGCAGAATTTCGGGGGTATGTCTATTCACCAAAAATGATTGTAATTGACCTCCGCAACCGAAAATAATTTTTCCTGTGATTTGAAATTTTTTAATTTAATTGTTAATAACTTTTTAACAAAGCCTCCATCAACAAATTGGTATTCTTGATTTCCGTCTTATTTTGGCCTCTAGAATCCCTCATTGAAATTTTTCCCAGGGGTGGTCGAATACCCTGTATACAATAATGATTCTTAATATGAACCTCAGACGTCGGTAAGTTGAACGTTTCTATTTCTCCCAACTGGGAGCCACTGAATCACGAAAGATGATACAAGCTGGGGTGTCAGCGACGATGCTTACTCTCTTCGCTCTCACTCACCGTTCTTTTCTTCGATTGTCGACTAAGGTCCGCTACGAAAGATAAAGGCGACTCGGAGGCTCAACGATACAGCTGTGTATAAATAGTCGCTGGTGTCAAATTTCGCGTCCGTTCTACGAAATACAGTATTAAAAAAGGTGTCTGAGTATGTACTTGAATGTCCACAAACGACAGAGCTCCACGTTCGAATAACATTCGGTGAATATTTGCATCGGTGATGTTTTCGGTTATTCGGTTAGAGAAAAGTTCGACGAATAGAGCACGATTCTAATTCAATGCACGAAGTGGTATCGTCTGCAACAGAGTTTCGACCAAAATGCTCGTGGTTCCTCGACCTATTATTTCCAGCGGGTAGGGCAATCGAGTCGAGCACGTAACACGATTCGCGCAAACATCGTGCAAATGGGGGTTGGATCAACCCCCTCTCCTATTCCTGTTAACGCGCAAATTTACCTACTCGTTGCACTCGAGCTCTCGTCTCGAGGCCGATGCATTCGCGAAGAAAATTCGCAACAATGCAACGCTG